GGCGCGGGGGGCGGGCCCGGCGCCGATAGGCTGCGCGGGCCGTCGCGTCCCGGGCCCCGCCCCTGGCGCAGGGCGGGGGAGGCCGCCCTTCCGAGCGCGATTGGCCGAGGCCCCTGCCCTTCTGCGAAGGGGCCGCTCCAGCGCGTCAGCGCGACGTGCTCACTGGCCGTTTCGCTTTGAGGTGTGCCCTCCCCGCCGGGGAAGATGGGCGTTCTGGGATTTGTAGTTCCTCCGCTGCGAGCGGAAGCTAGCCTGTTGCATGTTGGGGGATGTAGTAACAGGGAGCGGATCTGTAGAGCGAAATTGCAGAGTAGCCCCACCCGCGCGCGTTTCTGGGTGCATTGGGGAGCGCCGCTGTGCAGCGGGTTTCTTTCACTTATGTAGGGGCGGGTATGTATTATTTTTTAAGTAGCCGCACCGACCCGGGGCGAGAATCCAAAATCCGCCTGGCCAGGCGCGTCCTCATGCAGGGCTGGTGTTAGGGACCGAGAAGACCTGGGGCTCAGGCCCCCGGGACAGAAGCAAAGCGCAAACCGGCACCTGCCAGTTTGCAGACGCCTATTTGTAAAAGCGATGTCTTTAGGAGCATTTATTTTTTTAAAAAAGCCCTAAAATTGGGGGTTTTTTTGCATCTCTTATTGTCTGCTCGCATCTCCTTTGTGCAAGCGTGTGCTCCCTTTTGTATTCCTCATTCGTGCAAGACTCCGTTTTTCCAAAGGAAGCCACCTTTTCATTTTCATAGGTCTACCCTGAATTAATCTGCAGCTCCCCAAGCAATGAGTTCAATTCAGTTTATTGCTGGCTACTCCAATCAGCACTTTGCAGTTATATCAAACTCACAGGACAAAACAAGAAAAACAGAGAGTGTTCGCATAGGAGGAAATCTAATTAAGGTTATGATAACAAATAAGAAATTATTTAACGAGCCATAACAAATAATCTGGGTACCAAAAGTGTTAGATTATTTAAAGTAGCACAATAAGCTGTTCTGCAGTTTATCAAAATTAAAGCTTTCTGTTCTGTCCCAGTGCAAGCTCCCCTTTGCTTTTGCTACAGGGTCATTTTGTGGCCGGGGTCATCCCACAGCAACCTTCAGGCATGCATGTGGATGCACAGGAGCAGCCAAATAGACCATAATATTTAAATCAGGTGACAAAGAAAGCAATTACATGCCAGTGTAATATTAACCAACAGAAACAAATCCAAAAAGCTTTTCAGTTGCACTCCGCTCCCAATTTTGCAAAGCAGTTCCCTGTGCAAGATACACAAACAAAACTTTAAGTGGAAATCCGTACAAAAACCCCCCTTTCAGGGGGAAATGTGTACAAGTGTAAATTTCAGGACTTCTCAGAAATGGGAGAGACGGGGCTTCGAAAATGACGCAGACCAGAAATAGATGGGTCGGCCCGTCTGTCGTCCAAAGTTTTACAAGGGGGTGGGGCTGAAGATGGCCTTTCGAGCAGCCACCGTCTGCCAAGAGACGGTGAGCCTCCGGTTACTTCTTTGTGGCTCAGGATAAGCAGGAGAGGCAGCTCCGAGAGGACGCACAAGCGGCCCCGAGCAAGGAGAACGGAGGCTTCGGTCTCGGGGCAACCCCTGGATCTTAGTCGCTCAGAAGGTCTGCCCATCTGCTGACAGGTACTGCTCTAATCTTACCTTCTGTTTGAAGCACAGATGGTTTGGGAATTGTTTGGGGCCCTTCGCATATCCCCTCCTGAATCTGGACGCGACATGGCCTGCCCTGGGACCCGAGGATAAATGCAAGCCAAAGAATTAAACAGTCAAGAAGTCCTCATATGTATATTTGCATTTTGTGTTATTTTTCAGCCCACTGAGGAGGAGGAAGTGGGTACATGCATCTGAGGTTAACTTCCCCAAACTGGCTCACTCCACTTGTCTTGAACATCAGCTCCCATCATTCCAAGCCAGCATGGCCACAGGGAACGATGGGGGTTGTGATCAAACACAACTGGAGCAGGGGGCTGTCTTAGATTCTTAAAGGACATGTGAACTTTCGCTTTCTGCGAACCTGGCGTGTTCTTCTTTGCGCTGCAAAGGTAACGGCTTGGATCGTCCTTCGGCTTTCTTTGGAGCGCGGCTGCTTCATGGGGCCTGCTCGCTTCTGCCCTTAGCAATGCTGTGCAGGCCTTGGAGCAACTCAAGCTGCCGTCTCAGCGAGAAGTCCAAATTGATGAGAAGGCTAGAAAAGCTGTTGGCCCACGCAGCCGTCAGATGCCTCTCTTTCTTGCGCAGGAAAATTTTGAAAAGGTCAGGATCCCCATCCAGCTCCAAAAGGCTTTGGATCTGCTTCTTTATCCTACCTAACGCTGGCTCATGTTTCTCAAAAACTGTATAGAGCGTGTCGTCATTTCTCTCCCTTTGTTCCTGCTCCCCGTCGGCGCTCGCTCGGCTGATTGCCGCAAGCATTTTCCGCTGCCGATCGTTTTCCACGCAGTGCAGGAGCCAGCTCAGGCGGCACGGCCAGCAGTTAGCCAAAATGACCCAGTCGTAGACCTCCCTGATCCCCCAGCTGCTTGCGTGCTCCGCGTCCAACGTCACCGGTTTGAATACGTATCCCTGGGTGATCATGGAGTGGATGGTCATAACGGTGCTCACGACCCTCTTCCTTTGGACAGAGTTCGCTAGGAGGGATTCCCTGAACTTCCCGGTCCGTAGATCGTGAAGGAAGTCTTGAGTTTCCTGATTCATGAATGCGTTTCTTCCCACAAAGCCATTTTTTGGCCCAGAAGACTCTGCTCGGTCACCGTCTGCAGCCACGCCAGGCTCCCCTTTTGCCTCGCGCAAGGGCAGCTGCATCCTGCCCTCGTGGCTCCCCTGTGGCAAGGAGAACGGCAGGGCCACAGTTCGGTCCAAGTACAAATAGCCGTTACTCCAGGTGTTGCTTGACTGCCGGATGCATTCCACGAGGATGCTCGGGTCGGCCGCCAGGATGGAGACAAACGGGACATCCTGGCCAGCCAGGAGGATGCTCAGGGCGTCCAGCACGGACACCACCTTGTCCGGAGCACACAGGTCCAAGCCGGTGACCTTCAGCACCACGCGGAGGTCCTTCCTCTCCTTGTACGCCATGAGCCGGAGGAACTGCGTGGCCGTCTCCACCTCTTGCCTCACGTAGTGCATGAAGCCCAGCTCGGCACTGAGGTCCTTCCTTCGGATGCCTTTCTGAATCTTCCTCTTCATGGTGAAGTAGAGATTTTTGCAGCCGCTTAGAAAGGGAGCGAACAAGAAGGTCGCCACGCAGGCAAGGATGGATAGGAGTAGTTCCACCAGGTTCTGTTCGAAGAGGAGCCATCCACACAGAATGACCACCAAAGACAGAAACAGGAAACTGGTGGAGATGAACTTCGTTTTTCTTTTCAATATCCAATGTTTTTCCTCAGGTTTCCCCGTGAATTCCACACCAAACATCCTAAAAATCCCTAAGGAATATCTGTATTTTCCTTCAATCTCCCCAAGCAGCGTCGTGATCAGGCCGGCCCAGGTGTGGGTGCAGCCGACAAAATCCCAGGCGTTGAAGTTGATGAAGACACACCAGATGTTGCCATCTCGCTTGGCCTCTTCTGCCCTGGAAACCGGGAGAAAAGCACGGCAGACCGGTGAGCGAAAGCAGAGGGGGCATCGCTCAGCAAACAGGTTTCGTGTAAGGTGCCATTTTATAGATTTTTAAATTTTGGCTGAGAAGTTACAAAGAGAGGAGGGGGTTTTTCACCCCTCTGCAGTCTTGAAGGCTTTTTTCCCCAGAGTTCATGTCTTGTTTGGGATGTGAGGCCTAAAGTCGGGGACGTGGCCGTGCCTGCGAGCCCCACCCAGCCTTTCCCTGCACACGGCGCCCCAAACCTCGATGCTCCAAGCTCACCATTCCTGCTAGGATGCCCGAAGCACGGACGCACTCTGCCGCCTCGAAGGTGTGCCACACGGTCTGTGCCGCACGGTCAGGGGCCCTGTCCCAGCGGGGTCCCTGATGACCCAAAGCGCTCCACGTGCCTTCGGCTGGACACGAGTCAAGACTGGCAGGACCAGGGAGCGAAGGGCTGGGGCCCAGAGCCTGGAGGAGCCACCGTGGACCAGCCCCTGTCGCCGGCCCCACCCCAACCAGCCCCAGAGAATCCTAGAATACGGCCAGCCTGCGACAAACGCATCCCGATTCTCTGTCAGGGAAGTTCCAAGTCAAATAGAGAAAGCATTTGGCGATCTTCGTTCAGCCCCAGGAAGCGTCTCTTCCACGTCCAGTTGAAGGTTACGGGTAAGATAGCTTATCCAATCCCCCCCCCCCCCGATTTTCTTAACCTAAACCCTTTACAAAGAAGCCAGGGCGTGGGAAACAAACACGGCCCTCCCTTGGTGTTCAGAAGCAAAAGCTCGGGTGGCCCAGGGGGACCTGGAGGCCCATGAGCAGCTGCTGCCGTCCGAACGCTAAACAAGCCAGCGGCAGCCCAGAGCGCCAAGCGCTGGAAATACACTGCTGCCGTCCTGCACAGACGCTTCCTGCAGGAATTTAGCAGCAAGCCTGTCATTTCCCCCCACTTTGCTTCCTTTTATTTTCACGCTGCTGCAGGCAGAAGTGGACTCTGCAGCTTGCGGAGATGCCCAGCCTTCCACTAGCAGACAGAGAGGGCAAACCATTTTTGGGGGCTTTTCAGTGAGGCTTTTTGACCTGGGAAAAGGCTTCAAAGAGTCGCTTCACTCCACAGCCTTGTGCAAAGTCGGGGTGGAGCTGGGAGTGGGGGCCCCGAACCCCTTTGCGATCTGGGGGAGCTTTACCTAGGCGTTGCCGGGGATGAAGCATCCGATAACAAGGTCAGCGTGTCAAGGTTCGCAACGTCGGGTTTTTCCTGTGCAGCCTCCCTTTGAATGCTGCAAAAGCAGAAAGAGCCGCATTGGCCATGAGAAACATCTCCACTTCGTGCGAAAGGAAGCCCTTGATCAGACAAGCCAGAGCCCAGCGGTGCTGCCCAGATGCGCTCCTGCAGACGCGGGTCGTTCTTCCGGAGCAGGCAAGGGCGGGAGGGGAGGCCGGGTGGATCTGGTGGGGAAGTCAGAATGCAGCGCCCTAATGAGCATTCCTTGAGATGGAATGAACCTGAACCGTGCGCCTTAATTGCTTTTTCAGACTTGCCAGGGGCAAAATGTTCCCAGCGGGAGGAGGCTGCCCTTGCGCCTGGGCCTGGGCAGAGCAGGAACTGGAGACGGAGGCCAGCCGGTCGCTGCACTGGCTGCCCCCAGCCGGGGACCGACCTTCATTTCCTGGGGTAAAAGCCTTTGCGGGAGAAGGTTATGCTTGACCGTGTCTCTGACCCTCCACTGAACGAGCCAGAAGACAGAAAAGCAAACGAAACCCACCCGCGGGGTTGGAAGGCGCTGGAGTGGCCGTCCTTCCTAGCAGACTCCCTTAGAGGTCACGCGAGGCAAACCGGTGAAGGCATGCACGGCCTAAAAGACACAGCAGGGCTACAGGAAGGGGCCTCCCTCGAGCACGCGGGTGGGTGGTTCCATCCACGCCGCCTCAGGCCCTCGCTCGGACGGCACTCGGCTCCTTCTGCCCACTGCGGTCCCAGAAAGGATCGTGGCCTGGGGGAGGGGGGGTGTTCATGGCGTGGCTTTTGCAAGCATGTACTCCTTGCACAAAGTGTCTCCGAGATGTACATGTTTCGATACGCTTATTTGCACATGAGTCACATTGCAAACTTGGAAATGTACCAATTTCTAACCACAAACTGCATTTGGTTCCATGTTTTTGGTCCGGAAGTGGGAACTGAGTAACCTGACATAAAAATGTGAACCAACCGATTTCTCACCATCTCTGTTCTAGGGATGTGTTCAAAGGTGGTGGAGGTGGAGGTGGACGGGGGGGGGGGGCCTGAAATCCTTGCAGTAGTGGGGAGCTTTACCTAGGAGCTTTCCTGGATGAAGGGTCGAAGATCACCGTCCGAGTTTTCGCTGGAGCGGCGCTGCATCCTTCATCGGCTGCTCTCTGTCTGCTGCAAGCCACAGAAAAAGCAAGAGCAGCTGCATTCTGCTTAAGAAGCCGCCCCCCCCAAATGCACACCAGTGTGACCCCTTGATTAGACCAGCCAAAGGACACCGCAAGGTTGTGTGCTGGTCACCTTGGGTTCAGAGCAGGGCTCAAATGTGGGGAGGGGAGGAGGGTGGGGAAGGGGAGCCTGCGATCCTTTGTGAGGTACCCTCCTCAGCTGTTCTAGGAGGCTCCTGGGGGTATCGTTTGTCCAAACTGGGGGAGGGGGTCTCAGTGAAATCCACACCCCTAACCCACAGAGTACCCCAATTTTACACCCATCACACGGCCCCTAGCACGCCCCGTAATTTTAACACGACCCTCGGTGGCGGTTTCTTGACCGGAACGATCTCCACTCCACACCAAGGTGCGACCAGAGGCCCTCGTTTAAGAGTCACACCGGAATATACGGTATCTCTTGACTCAATTCGCACAAAGACTGTAGCCAAGAAATTCAAGGAAGGCTGAGACTTGGCCTGGCAGTGATGTCAGGATCTGTCCCTGGAGAGGAACGCCAGCATCATCCTCACTCTCGTATTCCAGTCACTGTGGGTGGGTGAGAAAGCTGGACGGGGAAAGAAGCGGACAGGATTCGTTCGAAACCTGGTGCTGGAGGAGAGCTTTGCAGGCGGCCTGGACCAACAGAGAGGCGAACAAGGGGCACCCAGAGCAAATCAAGCCGGAGGCAACACTGGGGCTGTCCTACTTCGGACGCCCCATGAGAAGGCAAGACCCGCTGGAGGAGGCGATCAGGGAAAGTCGAAGGCAGAAGAACAAATACGGGATGGGTGGACTCCAGCAAGGCAGCCACAGCCTGGAATTAGCAAGCGCTGAGCAGGGCTGCCAAGGAGGAGGCACTTTAGAGCAGTGGGGCGGACCTATGGCATGCGTGCCTGTGTTAGGGTGGGGGTGCTCGCCAGGGTAGGGTTAGGGTTAGGAAAACGAGGTGTCCTGGCACGATTCTGATGGTTAGAATGTGTTCAGCATGGGCAGAAATGATGAGCTGCGCAGAAAAAGCTACTCGAGGAAGGACTTTTCAAAATCGCCCTCTTTTCAATGGAACTTTCCCCCTATAGTAGGGTTAGGGGTGTGCGCCAGGGTAGGGTTAAGGTTAGGAAAACGGGGTATCCTGGCATGATTCTGATGTCTGGAATGTGTTTAGAATGGGCAGAAATGATGAGCTGCGCAGAAAAAGCTACTCAAGTAAGGACTTTTCAAAATCGCCCTCTTTTCAATGGAACTTTACCCCTATATTAGGGTTAGGGCTGTGCGCCAGGGTAGGGTTAGGGTTAGGAAAACGGGGTGTCCTGGCATGATCCTGATGGCTGGAATGTGTTTAGAATGGGCAGAAATGATGAGCTGCGCAGAAAAAGCTACTCAAGGAGGGCTTTTTCAAAATCGCCCTCTTTTCAATGGAACTGTACCCCTATATTAGGGTTAGGGGTGTGCACCAGGGTAGGGTTAGGGTCACAATAACGGGGTGTCCTGGCATGATTCTGATGGTTGGAATGTGTTTAGAATGGGCAGAAATGAT